TCTCTAGAAATTCTTTGCTTATTTTGTCACAATGCTTTTATGAATACCATACGGGAATGAATAGTTAAATAAGCACATCTGAATTACGGCACATGGCACAAAAGGCATTTATTTTCACGTTATAAAGAAAACTTTTAAATACACTACAAGGATTTGACAAAAATAGATACAAAATACAATCTAGTTTTTTTTTTATATATATAATATGAATAATATAATTCAAAGCTCTCGTTAAACGTAAAAATATCAATTAAACTTTTTATAAATTTGACGAATATTTTAATGATCCTAATCCTTGGCATTGATTTGCTTCAGTTCAAACAATTTGTATGACTCAAAACTTAGCGATTCAAAAGAGTGGCAGAATGTTTCTTGCCAGTTCTTCTTGCCCATTCTACGCCCTTGACTTGCGAACTGGTAGTAAATGTAAATTTAGAATTAATTTAACTTCTTTTTTGACGTTCATAAGTGTACTTGTTTACCTACATATATGAATAAAGTTATTTTGAGATTGATATTTAAGATTGTTAGTCGTAATTAACAAATTAACCAAGCTCAATCATATATACTTATATATATAATTAAAAATATTTTCACTGTCAGTATTATTTTTTCAACTAACTTCCAAAGAGGTGACATTGTTTTTATTGATAATACATACACATTAATATAATCCATATTATTATTATAATCGTAGTAAACACGCAATTACACACGTGGAAACAAAATCATTGATTGTTACACTCACTTTAACACATGCTGGAAATATGTCTAATTCCTGTACATATATCAGTGTTGGCCTAGTGGCATCAGCGTGCGACTCTCATACCTGAGGTCGTAGGTTCGATCCCCGGCTGTGCACCAATGGACTTTCTTTCTATGTGCGCATTTAACATTTGCTCGAACGGTGAAGGAAAACATCGTGAGGAAACCGAGACATGTCTTAGACACAAAAAGTCGACGGCGTGTGTCAGGCACTGGAGGCTGATCACCTACTTGCCTATTAGATTTAAAAATGATCATGAAACAGATTCAGAAATCTGAAGCCAATTCCTAAGGTTGTAGCGTAACTGATTTATTTTATTTTTAATTCCAATACATTAGTGTCTACGGCAGTAATAATCCCAATCGTAAAAAAAACGCGCTCCGTCGCTCAATCTCTTTGTCCCACAATATCTCCGGAATAGGCGGAAAACGGATATTGTATTCAGAGCAAGGCCCACTCACAACATCACTTTTAAAAGCTATATTATCAAACAGTTATATATATTTGAACCTTGGGACTAAAATTAACAGATATCTGAATGATCATTTCAGATAACAGATAAGCATTCAGTGCCCGACGCGATAATTTTTGGGTCTATATGCAAGTGTGTATTACCTGCAAAACTCAATGAAAATAGAAAAGCAATACATATTGAAATAATTATGTACAGACAAATTGTAAAAGATGGAAAACATTATGTTTTTGTTGACGGTACATAACACAAAGAGAATGTATTTCACAATTGATACGGATCTTCGAGTTAATATTTTTATTGTCTCCGCCTATTTCTCAATTCTCTTAAGACTTTTATTTTCTTGTTTTGTATTTAAATTTGCCTAATCTTACTTTGAGATTTCAAAATAAGTGAAATTAACGCTTTAATTTTCGCAATATCTATATAATTGCCTTGGGAGATTATAATTTTATTTCACTTACGTAAAAACTTGAGACGTGTACCTCTCTACAGCAGGACTGTTTTATTTTTTCATTCAGTTCTAATGTATTATCCTAACGCCTTTATTTCTTAGTGTTTATACTTATTTAAGTACTAAGATTTGTCATATTCCATAAAGTTTGACAATTGACTTTGTTAACAGTGATATTAATGGGTGTTTACAGCTAAACCACAAGACCATAGACGTTTTGGACTATGTATTTCTACTATACATAGACATAGATTTTTTTTTATTTCAGACAACTATTAAACATTAGGTATGTTAAACTAATATTTCGTATTCTCTTAAATTTGGTTCAAACTAATCATGATTTATCTATACCTAATACCTACCTTTCTAGTACAATATACTTAAATCCTACAATAACTTTCTAATAAATATGCATAATGAATAATGTAAAACTCCTTGACCCACAATATAAGGTTATTAATTTTAATTACTTTAGCGAGAAAAACTAATAAACATGTTTTTACTGTGCGTTACTAAATTACTTAATTTGTTATTTTATATTTAAATTCTGTAATAATAATTATAATTTTATTTGCATATAAATCATCTTTTATTCGAGATTTTTTAATTCATTAAAACATGTCGAGAAACAGAAATTCATATAATATTTATGTATGTATGTAACTCTCTCGGGATTAAAAAACGTCGTAAGTATTTTTTTAATTCACAAGCATTTCCGAATATTTTCAACAACACAAGAAACAACGAAACAAATATTAATTTAATTTTAATAAATTAATTTAGGTTCAAGTGAACCTAACAATAAAGCATAGCATATCAAAACGTTATTTTAATAAATACATATTTAAAAAACCACATACCTATTCACAAATAACTTCCTACGTTTTTTTATCTGTAGCCAGTGGCATAGATAATCACTAATATTCAGAGTAAACTTTTAATTACTTTCGCGAGTTCCGACGCATTCTTAATCATCCGCTTCCTGAAGTAATTTGCAACCGCGGATTTCCTATGCGGGCGTAATTCAAATAATAGTGGGCTATATTTGATCGAAAAAAACTCTGGAATACTATAATATTCAATAATGCCTTTTTATTTATAATGAGGAACATCTGAAAAAGCTCTGAAAATCTGGTCATTGAACACTTATTAAGTTACAGTAAGTGGGTATAATTAATATTTTTTATATTAAAAAACTCAAATACATAAAGATAAATTAAAAACTTAAACAAGATTCCAGCAAGAACAAATCTAGTAAGAATTATAAATCATAACTTGGTCTTAACATTGTGTTTTAGACTCAAGCACTATATGAGCAGTTTTTACAATACCCATATCATCAGTAAATTTCAATTGTGTAAATTGTCTCAAATACATTAACATTAGTACATGATAAAACAAAGAATGATAACAAAACCTTTCTTTGTTAGTAATGTTTGAAGAAATAACTGTTTGAAGTTCCTGATTCTTATCAATGTAGGAAATGATTAAGATAATAGGGGTTCTTATTCCTTCATTACAAAGAATTCTTTTAAGTAAAAAATTGAATAAAGATATTGTTTTACCAAACATGTAATAATCCAATGTTCTATTGATGGCGGCCCACTATTTAAATACTTTCTCTTATATTGAAACCATTTTCACTTAAATGTGTATAACTTGTGGCAACTATCATTATCTCAAGTTGGTTAAAAAAATAGGGTATAAAAAGATATTCCTATAAATCTAAATGTATAATATTATAATAAAGTAAGTTTTAAACTATCAAGCAGATCTATATTGGATTTCAAAACTGCTTAGTTTGTGTTTAGGAAGCATAGTACTCTTACATGCCTCTGTATGATTTTCATTCCAGAAACAATACCTGCTACTGCCTATTATTTAAGACAAACATTGATTTTAATGTATAATTTTGTCTATTCTGTTAAAGAAAATGGATTTTTGAATAAGAAAAATTTGTTTACATCACTCTTAATATCAATCAGCACTCTGCATTAGTATAAAGCTTAATCTAATATGACTAGTATAGCTCAAGACTGAGCTCATAAGTTTAGAAAATCCTATCAATAAACAATCTATTAGCTGATAAACATAAATAATTCAGACTTAAGAAAAAACTATATTAATCAATTTGGTTTTTTATATCGAAAATAATGCAAGTGTAGTGTTATGTCAATTGCAGTTTTAATATTTTTATTAGAATATAAATGTACATTGTAATAAATTAAAATTTTATTTGATATATCTATAACAAATTTATTTATAGCTACTCACATTATAGACCACAAGTTCAACTATCGACTATCTTCAGAGACAAGGGAAGTCATAAAAAAATAAACAAAGTGACCTTTCAAATAAGCTTGCAAACAAAACATACCTTATCTCCTGGGATATTTTTTGACGACATGGTGTAACTCTTAATTTTATTAAATGATCCGATGTCGTCTGGACGATATATCCAGAGAAAGGAACTCAATGTTGCTGCGGCAGATCAGCATACGACACAAAACACTTCACTTTATCAATCACTCGGCCATCATCACTGATTGTAGGGTGCATTAGAGCCACATACACAATAAGCTAGCCATAATTTGGCTTCGAAATCAACACAATTGCCCATTGATATTCATCGGTACAGGTAATTTTTCAACACACAACACAAACACAGCGAAAGAAGCTGACTTGATTGAGCTTGACGGAAAATGGCGATTGGCGAGGGTTGTGTCTCCCCTCCTCCCCACTGACCCGCCTCTGCGCGCATGCTATATAATGTTTTTTATAATAGTTCCATTAAACCATTATAGAGGGCAGTATTGTGTTTAAACGCACTTTTTATTTATTTAACTTAAAAATAGATGGCGTAATATAGATTAACATATGATGGCACAGATTTGTAGTTATTATTGTTGAAAATTTTGATTTATTTAAGTATTATAATTCCGTGATGGGTTTTATAATAATAGCTTTAACAACAAAAGCGAAGTAAAGTGTAAATTTTAAAGTAACTTTACAAAGTTTATTTAGTAAAGACTTAACTTGTAAAATTATATTGGTAAATAGTAATTATTAAGCTATAATAATAAATTAAAAATATTCTAAAATAAAAACATTATCGACTAGATTAATAGAAATTCAATCGATCGATTTAATAAAATAAGGATGCTTGTTAGATTACAAAAAAACACTTGGACCTTATCATTAACCTATTATTTTGAAATTGCAACACTATGTATATGAAACTTTTTAGTCTGTGCTGGGCGGGAGCCGGTAGCATAGTCTAACATTGACCAAATCAATCAATTCGCAAAATGGCGGATGGCGGCGTGGATATAGATTTATACGCTGATGATATTGAATCTGATTTTAATAGACAGGTATGCTTAAACGTTTATTTTATACTTTAATTTGAACTAATTAGAATATATGTATAAAAGTTTCATAATGGTTGTACTAAAAAAAATCTAAATTTATGTGACGCCATTTCTAGGACGAGTTTGGAGGAGACAATGTAGATTTATACGACGATGTAATAGCTGCCCCGCCTACGAAGCCAGAAGATGGAGATGGTCCACAGAATTCGGGGTCGCAACATCCTCCGGAAGAGACAAATGGAAATGCGCCGTATCACAACGCTCCAAGCCACGGGCATCATGGCCGCCGCTTTCAGCTTTACGTCGGCAACCTAACTTGGGTTCGTACTTGATTTTAACTCACTAGTTCTAATGTAAATATAGATTTTCACTTTGTGCTACCTATTTGATATTTGGGAGTGTCAATTCTAATGCATATTAAATCATTTGTTTCCTTAATTTCCTTATCTAAAGCTAGACAAACTTAAGTTTATTGTTATCATGCCTAGTAAAGATGCAATTCACAATTCACGACTCAATATCTGTTTTAACAATAATGTCAGGACAGCTGCAGCTGGTATGCACACACAGCACAACATTTCATAGTCATCGAAGTTGTGGTCCTCATTCAAACAAATAACATTTAAATAACTTCCTATAGTTCATAATATAAAATAAAATAATTTATATGTAATCTTGTGTCTGTGTGGCAATAAACATTTTGAGAAAAAAGTTATGTATATTTTACATATAAGTAGGAAGCATGGCAATTTGGCAATCCCAAAATCAAATAACCAAATGAAAACTTGAAATGTTAAACAAAACACTTATCCTAACTGGTAACAAACATTTGCTTCATTTTAGCTTTAAGTCTACAAAAATGTAAAATTCTGTAATAGTAATTTTATTAATTGTAAAAACTATAGGGTATCAGAAAAAAATTGTTTTTTTGTACCAAATGATATAGGGAAAGCCTAATGTCATCCAATTTCATTATGTATTCAATCCGCTATATTAACTTTAACATAATATAAATCTATCAAAAGTAATCACTGTACCGGAAATATGTAGGAATATATTGTTAAAGGTATAACTTGACACATTTGTCTTAATTTATTTAGGCCTTCAGAACTGAAAAAAATTCTTAAAAACTAAAATCTGAAACTTTGTATGACTCCAAATTTATGCTGCTGTTATAGCTGTATTCTACCATGTAATATTTATTCACTTTCAATTTATTAAGATCGGTATTTGTTGGATTACCAGTGTTAAGTTTTCATTTGGTTAGTTATGTGTGTTTTAAGTGTGAAACGCACACTTATGCACATTATTGTTCAGTTTTTTAAATTATGACATAAGATTTAGAATTGATATAGCATTATATAATCTTAAGTTACGTAAAGTTAATTTTAATTGGTGTGCTAATATTGTGTCTAAGTGTGATTTTGGTAAGTGAATATATGTAGTCTTCTTTTGAGGGTGATTGTTAAAATGATATGATGACATCGCTCCTCAAAACTTAAAATTTAATTAAATTTCACCCTTAATTTGTTTATGGTAACCAATGTCTAAAAACTGTGGTTGCGATTGTATATTGAGTCTTAGCTTGTCATTTTATCACAAAATAAAATTAGTAAAGGTTATAACATTAAAGCTTTTTAATATAGTGCTGTATCAATTCCAAAATGAAGCAATCATGAACCAAGTCCATATAGATATGTATGGTATGGTTTCCAAGTCTAACGGCTTTTACCTCATAAAATATATTATTAAATTTATTATATTGTGGTACCTTACATATATTGTTAAAAATTTTAGTGACATGATTTATAAAATATTATGGCCTTGCTTCTTTTTAAATATTTGTTTTTATACATATATAACCTCGTTATATACTGTGATATAAAATGTGTACACGGCCAATAAATGGCCATGGTATACTGTGATATAATATATGCTGAGATTATATCTCATAATATACTGTGTGTGGAAATTGATTCCACCTAACTTTATATCTCATAATATTTATAAATGGTTTTATATTATGTGATAAATCTGCAATACATTATGCTATTAAAAATAGGGCGAGGTTTTTCTCAATGCGCTATTTTTACTCAATTGCTTTACCTTCCACTCTTGATCAAATGTGACTTGAAACATTGTCGAGGGTGATTTGTTACACACATTGAATTTTTATTGCTACTTGTTAATGTGAAGTTTGACTTTAGCCCATTTTGCAAAATTCTAAAGAGATATTTATGGATTTCATTTTACAAAGTGGTTAGTGAAAATTAGATTTAGAAAACATAGAATAGAATCTAGGTAAAGCATATATCTTCTGAATGTAAATATTATATTTTACATATTTTGAAACTAAGATTCATATTTCTTAAAGAAATAAGTATTGTTGGGTTATTATAATTCTCATATTTATTATTTTGCTTTATTGTAGTTATGTATTTTTGTGATAAATATCTCTTTATCTTAAGTTTGTGTAACTTAATATATTGGTATTATTTGCATGTATAGTCCAAAAATGGATTATTTTTGCGCAATGGTCTTTTGTTATTTGGATTGTTTTTATGAGTTTTATGGCTATCTCACTCTTGCAAAGGATTGATGACTTTGTATGAGTGGTATGCCATGAAACATAAAAACGTATTTATGGTCCATATTAAAATCTTTGTATTTCATGACCAACAAACATTTTCGAATAACAATGATGAATGTATGGACTATAATTATGGTTTGAATGAAGAGGATTGTCTGAGAAGAATGAATAGTATATTTATTTTATGTAAAACATTTCCACATCTATACTGTCTCATACTGCAAACATCTTGGTTATGTTTTGATTACTTTGGTCTGTACACTGATTTAAGTGGTAATCAGAATCTTAATAGATTTTATAAAAATACTAAACATTTTAAACTTGTCATTGTTTAGTTGTCTTTCTTGTCAACCTTTAATGTTAACATTACTTATTTTTGTGTTACTTGAATGACAATGTTTACCTTTACATATAAATTTAAAAAAATATTTTTTTTACAAATATAACAGGTGTGAGACTTTGTAAGTACATCATTTGTACTATGAGGGGGAATACTAAATAATTTACGTTATTTATTATTATTTTAATATCAAATAAGTTTCCATTTGTCAAGACGTGTAACTAATCGAAAAATGTTGTATTTAAAAATTTATTTTACGTTTTTACTTTTTAACATGCCGCTTTCATGTTACAAATTTTTATATAAGTGGAAACGAAACTTTCGTTTTAGATAATCATTTTACATCGGGTCTTCAAGATAAGATTTCAATTTGTTCTTGGGCGTATTGCTTTTTTATTGAAGCTTACAAAACATGTATTAAACTTCGAGATAAATATATTAAATAGTGTAGTTCAAATACGGTCAGAAGAGCAGCATCTATCTTTAAAAAATGTTGGTTTCAATATTGGCGATTATCTATAATTCTATAAATTATTAATAGATGTAAATATAGACGCAAATATACAGTTATTATAGTTCAAATCATTTTAATTTTCTGATAAAAATTTGTCCTAATATAATTAATTTGTGATTTATATATTTGTAATAATGTTTTATTTTTTCGACAATTATAATTATTATTGATTTGGAAAAATATTGAAAAAATGTTATACATCGGGCTAATTAATGTTAACGTAAAGTTCACACCATCCTTCAAAATGTCGTGAAGGATTTCAATGCTCTGAGAAAAATATACTGTGATAAAAGCAATAAATAATAACAGCAAATAAAACTGTTTCTTTTCTCCTGAAGCCTCCTATCAAACCAAATTTAGCGTACAGATTAAAATGTGAGAGAATGATAGAGTGAATGAATGACAGGTGTTATGTAGGGAAAACCAGTTAACACTCAGATATCAGCTTTCGATACATGGTTAGGTTACTACCTTTTCCAGAATCGGAAAGTCTCAAATGAGGTATGTTACAACCGCGCTTAATATAATGCTAGTTCTTGTATCCAATTTACGATTTTCATTACTTAACCAATAGTTCTGAGCTATTCGTAAGTTGGACATGGGAACCGGCAAATTGTAACAATTTAAAACGCGATGCATGACATGAGTTTTTGCTAAACATTTTCCAGTGGGCTACTGATCAAGATATAGCTAATGCCATCGCAGACGTTGGCGTAACTGATTTTCAAGACGTGAAATTCTTCGAGAACAGGGCCAATGGACAGTCGAAGGGTTTCTGCGTTATATCTTTGGGTTCTGACCAGTCCATCCGGATGGTCATGGACCGTTTGACCAAGAAGGAGATACACGGACAACATCCCGTTGTTACGCTGCCCACAAAACAGGTACATGACAGAAAACAAATATAAGAGTAATAATCCGAAAGCTATTATGGTTTTTGTATTTTATACTTCCTGTATTAAGGGAGCCTTCAAGTATTACGTCACGCACGTTTTTGGAGATTATTGACCCCCTCCCCTATGTAACGCGCCGTAACGTTTTTCTGTATAGCAAAACGTTTCATGACCACCTAGTGACTCATTATACCTAAAAGTTACCATTATGTGGTGTAAAGTACTGGAAAGTCGAAAATAATATTAAAAATAACGCGTAATTCACTCCTTGCTCCGCATCGTAACGTTCTACAAAAGGACCCCCGCCCCCCCCAAAATTCGTTAGTTATTACTTGAACGCTCCCATAGGGCCGATTTACATTATCTAAGTGTTTAGCAGAGTGCTTTAGGATAGTACTTTAGTTGAAATATGTAAACGCTACTTGCTTTAGTACGGTTCTACTTGACTTTCAAGTTGAATCAAAATAGAATCGCTTTTTGTTTCAAGTGATACCCCTCCTGCGCCCGCGCAACCCCCGAGATCTTTCCTCGTTGTGTATAAACACGTAATTTAGTAAAATGAGAATGGAGCGTATTTGCCGACGTTGTTGCGCGTTCATTGTGGCGCTGTAATGATACTCTACTGGAAGAAATGTAAACGTTCACTCGCAACGCACTAAAGCACTAAAGAACTTGCCTTTCAAGTTGTACTAAAATACTCTCCTAAACACTAAGACAATGTAAATCGGCCCTTAGAGGAAAAGGTTTTACATGGACGGTATTAAAATTTACTGTGGCTCGGTGACAAGTATCACTACATATAATTAATTGACAATAGTTTATTTAAGTAAAGGAGTGAATTTATATCTAGTAAAGCTTTTTCTAAAAAAATAAGGTAATTTTCATGATATTACCTAAATATGTCCTGTTCTAATAAAGACTATGAACCTGCATTGTCTAAAGCCATCACACTAACTACTTTGAAGAACTGGACGCATAAGGATACCAAATAATCGACTTTTCAGGCACTTAACCAATTTGAGAGTCAATCCAAGACGAGGTCAACGCCACCAGGTCCAAACCCTGGAATGAGAGGACCGCCTGGACATCCTGGTGGTCCACCGGGACCTCACCCAGGAGGTAATTTTAAATAGATTAATTTAAATTCGTATTTATACGTTAAAAATCCTATTCTGTTCTATCCAAACTTTGTTTTAAACATACAATTTTTTTATGAAAAATGTGTCAATTATCCGATAGAGTTCTATGGTGGCGGACCCAACGGTCCGGGGCCAAACGGGCCCCGAATGATGATGCCAGGACCGGGAGGCCCTCATCACCAAATGCGTGGGCCACCGCCCGGACCTCACGGGCCTCATGGCCCTCCACACCACATGCCACAACACCAGGGGCCCCCGCCTCATCATATGCCGCCGCATCAGGGACCCCCGCCGCATCAAGGGCCCCCACAGCATAGACCGCCCATGCCATATAACGATGTACGTATTGTATTTCTACTTATTGGATAAACCCCATCATTACACAATGAAATCAATTCAATTCTTAATAGGCAGGCTCTGTTTTACGATGTATGTGGTCTTTCATCATACGAGCATTTACGGTCTTAAAAAATATTGTTGCATCGCTGAAGATTAAATGTACATCCTCAAAGTTAAGAATCGCACAAGATGACCTTAAAATTTAAATATTTATTGAAAAATTGAAGATAGCGGTTACAATCAATTGCATTACATAAAAAACCTCCCTACCTTCTTTGGCTGTTGTATTGTGTTGATATAAGTTATATATATTATAATAAATTTTAAAATTAGATGCAGCGTCAAGGCGGTCGCGGAGGTGAATGGGGTGCTCGAGGGCCCCACATGCAGCCTGCCCCGGGGCCTCAGTACGGCCCACCGCAGCACCAGATGCCACATCAGATGCCCCCACCCCATGCTGTAAGTTTATTTCCACATTCCTATTGGGCTTAATTCATGATTTATCCACCGTTATTTTGTTACTTCTGATAGCGATAGGAATCTCTTTGTAGGAGAGACATTGAGAGAAATACCAAACTTAATATTGAAATCGAGAGAAGTTACAGACTACTGGTACTGAAGGGCATTTTTTAGTTGTTAAATAAAATAACCTTAAATAAGTTGTGTGTGTGTGTGTATATAATGGTTTAAGTACTTAAATGCTAAAGATTATTTAATATAATCAAAAAATTATTTAAAATCATGGTGCAAATACTGTAGTATTTGATATGATAAAGTTCCATTTGACTGAATGTTTTACTAGAGATGAGGATACGCAGTTGACCCATAATTGATTCTAGCATTATTCTTTTCTTGTAGCCCCCAGGTCAAGGCTTGCCTCCGCCCCACCACCAGCTGCCTCCTCACCAGCAAGGACCTCCAAGGGGTCCTGCCCCCTTACCCCAGCATCCTGGTTAGTATTTTACATATGAAACAAATATCTTATGATGAAAAAAATAAACTTATAAAAATATTATTACTAAATATTATATTTGTTACATTGAAGTTATGTATTTACAAGGAAAATTGTTAAGATATGTGTATATCAGTGATTACTGGAGAAATTTGGATGTGCTCTTTCCCTGTGTAGGGTGAACTGAAATCGATGCCATACATTTGTATTTTCCAGGTGTAGTGGGCGTAGGCGGTCCCGCCCCTCACGTGAATCCGGCATTCTTCAACCAGCAGCCGCCAGTGCAGACAGCACCACCTGTTCAACCGGGACCCCAGCCTGGACTACCTGGTAAATTAACTAAATGTTTAAAAAATTGTTAACTGATGATGTACATCTTGTTTTGGTAAAGGGAGGAATTTGTGACATAGTACTGTCCGTACTTATTTTATTGTCTTTGGTTTACCCGACACACATTCAATTAACATTTAACACCTTTTCAACGGAAATCAACAGTAATTCATTAGATATGTCTCAGATAGTTAATTAAAGATCGATATTCAATCAAGTCGCTAAAGTTCCGTCAGACATGTGACTGAACGAAACGTTTAACGAGTTTTCTTACCGTTCCTAGACAACAAGACGCATTTCAACTTTGGTAGGGTGACCAAGATATTTGATTGGAAAAAAATATATATTTTCCTAAATAATATTTCATTATTTAGGAAAATGAATAGCCAATAAAAATATTTTTGTTTTTGTTTTGTTTCTTTAATTTAAAAAAATAAAACCTGCTCTGCTGCAGATAACTCTCTGATTTAACTACTTTACTGCGACTGATACATAACATGGTTGTCACAACGTACATATTTTGAAAAGCTGCCATATTAACACCATCTATTGGCTCGAATTTAGTATGTGCTATGTTCTGGTGGCTTTTATAAAAATTACGATTGTCTCATTGTTTTATATGAGCGTCAAACAAGTCTTATTTCAATATAAAAAGATCTGTTTCAAAGATTTAAAATGTTATTTTGACTTTATGGTTTGGCCTATTCAAAAATTGTAATCAAATTTTGCTTTCTCCAGGTCCAGCCCCTTACGGACACCCGGCACACGCTGCCCCTCCACCCACTCAGGGCCCGCCTCCAGGAGCTAGAACACCCTATGGAAGACCACCTCAGGTAACAAACAATTCAATTTAAATGTAGTATCTTCTAAATCTCCTAGTTCACAAATTTAAATTTATTTAATTGTATATAAAAGATAATATTGTGTCATTGTATTATTCTATTATTAAGAAATATTTTTTTTTCCAGGTGTACCCCCCAGGCCCCGAGGCCCGTCCGGGGCACCCCGCTACCCTAAATCCCCACGCGCCCCATGCGGCCCCTCACCCCGCGCCTCATCCGCACCCTCCGCATCCCGTCATCAGCGAAGCCGAGTTCGAGGAGGTCATGAGCAGGAACCGGACGGTGTCGTCTAGTGCGATCGCGCGTGCGGTCAGCGACGCTGCCGCCGGAGAATACGCGTCCGCCATAGAGACGCTCGTTACTGCTATCTCGCTCATCAAGCAGAGTAAGGTAAGAGATGGGTATATTAGTGAAGGTTAATATTTCTATCATAATATATTATCATTTAATTGCTTCTTTATAAATAAGGGGGATAAAAAATTAAAGAAAAAAGATTATTTTCTGTTTTTACTAAAATGTTAGGACCTTGGATTTGTCTCATTAAAGACATTATTATTTAAAAAAATATAGGTGAAACCACATCAAAAACTAAAACAGACTAATTTCTTAATTAATTTAATTTAAATAGTTGAATTACCTATTAATTAAAATGTCTCTCTCTTAACCTCTGCAAAACGCTTAATTTAATTACAGGTAGCCCACGACGACCGTTGCAAGATCCTAATATCATCTCTCCAAGATACCCTTCACGGCGTCGAAACAAAGTCCTACGGAGGGGAAAGACGTCGTTCCAGGTCTCGGGAACGAGATGCGAGGGCTCATCACCGCGCTCCCAGGAGACGGGAGAGGTCTGCCAGCCGATATCGGGACAGGTCCAGGGACAGAGAAGACAGGGATCGGTAAGTGATACTTGTTTGGCGACAGGTGTGGTTGTAGGTTCAGGATTGAAAAAAAAAATTATGGAAAGACTAGCTGACCCGGCAAACATTTGTTTTGCCATGTATATTATTTCTAGGAAATATTATTTTAGTCCAATAAAAATAACTATCTACAATAATAAAAAATAAGGTTTGATCGAAGAGGGGTGGAAATTATCGGTTGTATCTATTTTTGTATGCTGTATCATAAAAAAATAAAAACAAAAAAAATAGATAGAAAAGAATAAAAAATCATTTTTTGGAGTGGATACCCCTTATCACTTAGGGGGTTGAAAGATAGATAATAGCCGATTCTCATTCTTAGCCCGAAATTTCGACTGAATGTAAGTAATTGTATGAAATTACTTTACACATTTTTTTGCGTTGATGTTTAGTAACAATTGTTGAATCAATGGTAAGAAATTAAAAATCGCGAATTAAGACAAGTGAAAAACGAAGTTACAAAGGATTGTTCTCAAAGCAATGCTTGTTTCAGGTATAGTGAAAGGTCGAGGGACCGCGACCGTGAACGCGATCGTGACGCGTAAGTGTCTACTTTCGATCATGATACAACTTGCAAAGATTTTTTATCGTTAATTAATTTAATTATTGGAACATCAATAGAAGTTGTTATGACACTCAAAAATAGCTTTAAATTTATTTATAAACGGGGAAATCAATAACTAGATTTTTTTTTACTGTTACGTCTAATAGTAGATTGTAGATTGCATTAATTTATATATTTTTCTGTTCATTTTAGTTGCAATTTATATTATTTCAGAAGGTTTACAATACAATCCTTCCTAGTCTTCCTTTAATTATATTATGTATTCCCTACATTTTGTTTGTAGTATATTCTTGCCTTAACTACAAATTAAGAGTTGTATTGTTGATTGAAAGTACATACCTGAAATGTTGGACACTTAACGAAATATTTGATTTGAGTTCAATCCTATATCTGTGCTTCATATTTACTTGTCATTATATTGTGTGTACCTTGTGTGACTTTTCTGTCCCTAATTGTATTTCATCAAGTAGAACATCTCTTGCCTCTTTTCTCAGAAATTATAATATTTCATATTATAATTCAACTCCGCCATAAAAAGTTGTTAATGATAATATTTAACTGACAGAATAATTTTATAAAATCTTATTCTACTTTATATTATTACATATGAAATACATTATTATCATATTGTACGGTAATTATCTACCACAATAGGTTAATAATTCTGATGGTATTAGCAAAACTTTCTGGTATGTGTAAATAAGTATTGTATTTTTATTTTTAAGAATACATATTAATTGCAGGTATTATCGCGATTACCGTGAACGTGAGCGGGACAGGTCCAGGTCGAGGGAGAGAGAACGCGCTGACCATTACAATAGAGGCCACAGTCGAGAAGAGAGGTTCATAGATATATTTTGTGCTTTTTCTTTCTCGAAGTTCTGTCGAATTCTTAGCATACCAAATTAATTATGCTAGTCTGGGGAATGTTCAGATAAATGAAACAACTTTATTCGAAGTGTCATCTGAACTGACTAATAAACACAGCTGTGTTACATCACTGAACTAAAAAAAAACTATATTTAAAGATATTTGTTCATAATTTTTTTTTTATATTTTATAAATGACTTGTAATTAGACTAATAAATAAACTATTTAATTAAATTTAGGATCCTTATGATATATTGTAGTTAATCTAGGAGTGCCACTATCGTACATTTTAAATAATTATTTTGTATATGATGCATAACTGCACTCTCCTAAATTCAGCAGGCCATAAATAATTTTGTTTCAATTGCGTTTGCTTAGTTTCGCGTAAAGTATCCGAAACTTATTTATATATTTTTAAAATTAATTCTCCATATTGCAGGCCACGTAAATCCCCAGTGGAAGCGGTAGCGGAACCGGGAGCGGGCGATGCGAGCGGAAAGAGCCGTTCAGCTGCCGCGCCCTATTACGACGAGAGGTACCGAGAGAGGCGTGACCGTGACCCGCCGCCGGCTGACCGTGATCGTGACCGCGAACGCGAACACAGGCGGGATGCCAGGCATTAGGGCTATGATGCTAAGTCACAAGAGCCTTGCACTATACGGACTGTACCATATACGTACGTAAACTTAGCGTATACGTGAATTTGCGTACGTACAGTAATTTAAAAAAAATTCAGAAAGCATAACTGGTTTGTTAAGCATATGTTCATAAACATGTATTTGATTTGTAAAGTTTAAGGAATATTGTAGTCTTAATTGCAAATCGATTTTTTAAAACTTAACTCTCTTATTCACTTAAGAAATCCGTCTAATATTCTCTATCTCTTCTCATTACAGCATAAACAGAATTTGATAGAATTGCATTTTTTTTTATTCGTCGGACCCCTACATAGTAGCCTTACAGGCACGCGACCAGGGATTGCTTAAAGGCTTGGCATTTTCCGCCAGGCCCGGGCGATAACTACTCCTGAAATATCCTCATGATATTAATAGGCGAGTGAGAGCCCTGGCCGGGGCGGGCCCCGCGTTACCTCTTGTGCTATTTATCTTTTTGACATATTTGACAATTTTTTGGCAAAATTTTTCCAGATGCGTACAATCTGTGCTCTAGCAACATGATAACCCATCCCGGTATACCCACACGCCAGCCTCGAGCTCCAGATCGCACCTGGGTCTTTAGAAAGTCAGATAGTCAACGAAATTATGATAATGGTAAATGTCGCACGCGGGGCTTCCTTTCAGTTTGACAGAAAAACATTATACACAAACACATAATGTAGAATTTCATTTAGACTTATTAAGGTTTTGTGAATAAGGGAGTTTAAATTATTGGTTAGTTTTATTTATTCCGGTTTATTATATTTCCAAATATGTTCATGAACAAATTGACACTAAAAGAGATTCTATATCTCCTATTTTATGTATCAACATTCCATTACTTATGTTGGTACTATTCATTGATTTCTATGACTCTAAACTTTCTTAGCGTAAGAATTTTGTTATAGATTACATCCTGTTTAGACACATTAAGTACTAAGATAGTTAAGGTTTAGTATAGATATTGTTCTGTACCAATAATTTACTGATTAAATTGATATAATTTATGTGTTTTTATTTACTTAATTCGACCAGTCAGTGGTTAGACTGGTCGACGATTTGATTTGGAGATAGTACACCGTCCTCCACAACCCGATATGGCATCTTGGCCTTATTTTCCATGTTTCACCATTTTTAGGTGAGAACGAGTCACTTGCAGATATAAATATAAACGGCCGGGATTTGAACGTAGGAGGTCGGGTCGAGTCACGCTATAACGACTAGGCGAACATTGCACATAAATCAATGATATAAAATAAATCAGTGGCGTTGAACCTTTTTTGGTCTGGGCCTCAGATTTCTGTAACTATTTCATGATCATACTGATCAGCCTCCTGTGCTTTATACACGCTGTCGACTTTGTCGACACATTTCTTCTGAGATTTTAAAAAGACGTGCATTTTTCCGCATTCGTGCGTCTGCGCGTGACCAACGCTTATCGTTGCGCTCATTCTCGCGAATTCACGCGCCCACTACTGAACCTCAAGTCATTAGTCTGAAGTTGGCCCGCGTCAGCGTTGATCACGATGGATTCATACGAAAAATTAATTTACCTGGTGCAAAAATATGAATGCCTATCTAATCCAAAAGCCAAAAATTTACTTGCAAGTGATTCAATAGCACTACTTACTGTTCATGCTCATTACTACAGGTAAAAGAGTGCGCCTTCGCTTTAGTTGTAAATGGATCCTAAGGCACTAGGATAACACTGCTTACAAATCATATAAAATTAATCGGACAAGGCAATAAATGTGTGTGTTACGGATATCGTGTTTACCATTTTATTTGACTTACAAATATAAAAAAGAAACAAAATTAAACGATCTCCGACATTGGACAGAAAAACTAAAAAACCGATAAATATTTTTCGAATCTTAATTAAACATTTTGGGGCCTTGAAGAAATATCGTGTTTACAAAGTTTGGTTTGTTGCAAATTGTCGACCCTTCACCTTTGCTCAAAGGGATCGGATTAAAAAAGTTAATTGCGTAGTATTTGCAATTCTTAACTGAGTTTAGGAAAGAAAGTTCCTTCCCACGCTTTTATGAATTGCTAAAATTTTGCGGAGGTTTTACATAATCCGCTTTTGTACCGTTGATAAAACAGTCGGCACCTCTGGTAATTACGCAAATTATAAGTCTTATAAATCTGGCACTATAAGAAAGTGCCTGAATGGTCACTAGACAACTAGGTGCGCCCCATAGTAGTATCACAATTATGAAATAGACAGCTTTTGTTTCATCTTATATATATATAATTCTTCTGTGCGTGTGTATGTGACTGAACTTCTCTCAAACGACTGGACCGATTTTGATGAATTTTTTTGTGTGTGTTCAAGGGGATCTGGGAATGGTTTAGATTCACAAATCAGCCCGGCAGATGGCACTGCAGTCGGTACTTTCATACTTTGCTTAATATCCTAATCGCTTTAAATATCATGCAGGACAACGTCTGTGGGGTCCACTAGTATTATTATATAGGGCTATTGTTATTATGAGCACGTGAAAGGGCTTTAATTGCAAAAAAAAGTGCGTGCGTACAAAGTACACATGCCAGAAACTCAGAAGTGAAACTTCTTGGTAAATTAATTATTACCATATTCGCACCATGGCACTGTGTGTGATGCGACGTTCGCTCTATCTCACTCTCTCTCACGAACTTTCTCACTTGCTTGCTCCCTACTCTCGCTCCATGATTATTTGCTTCATGCTACGTTCGCCCATTCTCACTCTCTCTCAATCGCTCTCTCCCTTTTCTGCACAAAAACGCTGCACATCTTCGTGACGTTCCGTACAACATTTACCCTCATGCGTCTAAAGAAGTTCTACTTCAAAAATATTAAATTATAACCCTGTAAACGTTAATTTTGCTTTGATTCGGTCTAGACATAGCATGATATTAGGTCCTTACATATGAAATTGGCGTATTTCGTACTGGCCACTTTATTCACGATGTTTTCCTCTTTGGTAGGTAAGGAATTCCAAATTCAAATTTGTACAACTCTTTACTCATGTATTTGTGCTTCGATGACCGTCATTCATTTGTTATTTTCTTCTGTTTTTTTCTGTTTGCGTTGCACTCATTTTACCAAATGGAAAACTTAAAGTATCGCATTATTTACGAGTACGAGTTCCGCCGTGGTACTAGTGCTGCGGAAACGACTCGAAGGGTGAATGATATGTATGGCGGTCATGTTGCAAAAGAAAACACAGTTCGTTTTTGGTTCCAACGTTTTCGTTCTGGAAATTTCGACCTGCAGAACAATCCCCGTGGACGGCCTGAGACCCATGTTGATAATGAAGTATTGAAGGCTATTGTGGAAGCGGATCCATCGCAAACTACGTCCGAGTTAGCTGCAGGCTGCGGTGTTAGTGATAAAACTGTTTTAATTCACTTGAAGCAAATTGGGAAGATTAAAAAGCTTGAAAGATGGGTAGGTACCTCACGAATTGACTGAAGCAAACCGGCAAACGCGCGTCGACTGCTGCGTTACATTACTGAACCGGCACAATAATGAAGGTATTTTAAACCGAATCATTACCTGTGATGAAAAATAGATTCTTTACGATAATCGGAAGTGCTCAGCGCAATGGTTGGATCCTGGCCAGTCAGTCAAATCCTGCCCCAAGCGAAAATTAACCCCAAAAAAGTTACTTGTAAGCATTTGGTGGGCTAGTCCTGGTATTGTTCATTGCAGTTTTCTCAAATCTTGCCAGACTATTACGGCTGATGTCTATTGTCAGCAATTGCAAACCATGATGGAAAAGCTAGCGGCTAAACAACCTAGGCTGGTCAATCGCTCCACGCCACTGCTACTTCACGACAACGCTAGACCACACACTGCACAACAGACGGCTACCAAATTAGATGAGCTTCAATTGGAATGTCTAACACATCCTCCGTACTCCCCGGACCTTGCTCCAACAGATTACCATTTTTTTTGAAATTTGGACAACTTCTTGCAAGGGAAAAAATTTAACTCTGATGGGGCAGGCCAAATCGTCTTCACAGATTTTATTGATTCCTGTCCGACTGTTTTTTTTAGTAAAGGGATCAATGAACTACCTATGAGATGGCAAAAGTGCATAGAAAACAATGGTTCATACTTTGATTAATTAAAAATATTCGACTTTTTGTTCCTCCCATACAAAACGCCAATGTCATATGTAAGGACCTAATATTATATTCTTAGAAATCACAAACGATAAATATTAAAAGAAACAAAACACTCAACCTAGGAAGTTTTATTCCTTACAAAACAATTTTTAATTAACTAATTCCCACAATGAAAATAATATTCAACCAGAAAATAATATTTGACACCACTCAATATAAAATAAAACACTAAAGCGTCCGTCACGTCCGAGAGAAGAGATGTGAAAAAATAATCGATTATTAAAAAAATCGATTTTTTCACGCGATTTTTATATTTAAAATAATCGATTAATAATCGATTATTTTTATAATTGAAAATCAATCATAATCGATTTTTTTATCTGCCACCTCCCGACATTATGTCTGGTCTTTTATAACCCGGACCTCGAACTATTAGGGATATTCGATACACAACGATGTTTACAATGCGATACATTGAATCCGATTCTTTGAAGATGTATTGATATACTCGATACATTGATGTTTTTTTGTAAAACATCAAAAGGATGATAAAAGCAGTTACAAAAACTCAAGTTTGAATGGAACACTATAATTTAAAAGTAAAATAAATTTATTCAGCGGCACAAGACTACATACAATTAAAAAGACAACAAAAATACTGCAATGTGCTACTGAAAAGGAATACACTCAGCATTTATCAAAATCTATCGAAACGAGATTAAGTTAATTTCGATTTTGATTATTCTTAAACGTTAATTTGTGTTTATAATTTCTATTGTTTATTTTTAATTTAAAAAACCATGAAAAATAAAATATTTAGGGTGTTTATTTTGAAATTAATTCAAAAATTA